GAGACCTAGTGTCTAAGAGGAGCGATGGAAGTAGGGACTTGAAGGAGACATGGGAACTGGTGAGAGAACTTGGGAGCAAAACAGCAGCGAAGGCAGCAGAGCTAGCGTTCGAGGAGTTACCAGAGGAGTGGAAGCGGTTGCTCCTGGTCAGACTGCAGGCGGAGGAGATAGCGCATGTAACTTCGATAGTTGGAAGGTGGGAGCCAAGGGCAGCAAGCTACTCGATGTGGAGAATAGTACGGGCTGAGGGGTATTGGTTGACGTGTGTGAGGGTTATGGCGATGTTCGGTGCTGTGATATTGGAAGAGGTACCGGCAGTGTCCATGAGGATGGCTGCATATGAGGCGGTGCTGATGCGTGTAAAGGAATGGGTGCGCATAGGGATGATGAGGGATCCCATAACGAGCTTGAAAGCCTCGGAGGTGTGTGAGAAGGAGAGTCCAACTGCGCTGAAGAAGCTAACAAATACCCTAACCACAGAGGTGGGGAAGCTGAAGCAGCAGGGGGCCTAAGAGGAGACGTGGGGGAGGAAGATCAATTGGAGGAGAGTCATCAACTGGAGGGATTCGTTGTCAGTGCCGAGCAAAGCGAGAGATGTACTGTGACGAATACACTGTTATAACCTACAGGTGGGCAGCAGGCAGAAGTTCTTGGGAAGTTGTGCTTGCTGCCTGTATTGCAAGTGGGATGAGGACATTGCATATGCACTTTTTAAGTGCACAAGGATTCAATCAATGGTGGAGGCACTTAAAGCGGCTCTGTATTTGATGAACCCCAGGAGGACCGTTCAGTCAGTGGGGGATCTACTATTTCAAAAAGGGCCACCAAGTCCGGGTTTCGAGAAAATACGGCCACAGCAGTTGCACTGCGTCATATCTGGGCGGAGCGGTGTCATGCGGTGTTCAGAGGCAAGCGATTTCATGTGGGGAGGGTGTTGAGGCAGGTCGGGACGGAGTTCAAGCTACATGGAAGGATGTAGAACAGCATCCTGCTCACGATGAGAGGAAGGGAAAGAATTGGCAGCCACGGGACAGGGTGGAATCACCTGGACAAGGATGAAGGCATGGTGCTTCGCAGGATATGTGTCAGAGGGTCCAGTCTGCTGACGTGGAACAGTGGGTTCGAGTCCATCTGGAAGGACCCCAGGACCACTTTTCAGCCACCGTAGTCACTTACAGGAAGTGGTGCATGACACCACACTCCCCTTCAAGAAGCAGTTACGACTGCGGTTTCCTTGCATTGTGTTTCAATGGATGGTTCCTATTTATAAATATATAAATAAATGAAAACTCCCCCGGGGCAGTGCGACTACTTTGTAACCACGAAAACTTCGATATAGTGACAGCCTACTACCGCGTTGTTCGGTATAAGGAATTAGTAATAACTTACTAAGACGCACTGCTAGTGGGTATACTGAACGTACATAGCAACGGGCTATGCTCTAGTTCCGTCGCCGTACGTGCTATACCGAACTATTCCGCGTCACTCCGAAGCTCTCTGCGTCTTCGGATGCCTTCTCCGAACATGTGCATCACGTGGTTGGGATTCGCTCTAGTGTTCCTATGTATAGACTCGTCATTCATTGTACCGAAAATCTGTAATCCTGTCATTTTGAATCTCAATATTCACTTCCGCGCTACTCTGGGTGTTATGAATTAACAAGCAGAGTAGCGCGTAAATGAATAACGAAGTGTTCAATCACTGAATGACAATACAAGGAATGGCAAGCCAAGATATAGGAACACCAGAGCTCGTCTAACCATGAGATGGGAAGGTTCGAGAAAGAGATCAACGGGTCTCGAAGTGACGAAGCGAGGCCCGGAGAACTCCATAAGGTCGAACTAGAAGGTCCGGAGAAGACGAGGCGATTCTGTCAGAAAGGTCCGGAACCGTCCCGAGGCTTCGGGTGTATTCGAGCGTACGCGATAGCAGTACCGCTCGGTAAGGAATGGAAAATTTCTTACACCACCCCCCCCCCCCTTAGCGAAGGTGATCTATATCAGCCACATGCTTGCGGGCCAAATAATTCGCAAGTATCGAAGGTGACTGTATCTGGTCTGAGGGCACCCACGTGTCGTCCTCACTGGTATGATTGGTCCATCGTATCAGAAAGTCAACGTGTCGTCCTTGGCCGTCGATACGAATCCTATGGCTCAAAATCTTCGAAGGCTCGATAGTCGTCTCTGCTGGTGGCCGTACATCCGGGACCAATCGCCGTCGAGCGATGTCCGATGTGTCAGGTACAAAAGGTCGCAACAGGCTCACATGGAACTTGTTGTGAATACACCAATCGTCAGGTAGGTGCAACTGCGCAGTTACTGGCGTCACCATCTTCATGATCTTGAATGGGCCACAGAAACGTGGTCGTAATTTCGTTGGTAGTGGCAGCCGTAAATTCTTGGTGTCCAAAAGGACTAGTTGCCCTGCTGCCATTGTAATATCTCGTCGATGTAAATCCGCATACCATCGAGCAGTAGCGTTCGCCTTGCAAATAAACTCGACAGCTTTATCGCGGGCAGTCTGTAATTCCTCGACGAGCTGCTGCGACCGTGGTACTTGACTCTCAACGTTGGTGGAGATGGGTACTGTGGGGTACATCCCGTAATTGAGGTAAAACGGGGAATGATTAGTCGTAGCTGAGGGCGCGTTGTTGTAGGAAAATTCCAACATGGGAAGCGCGTCATCCCATTTGTTTCGGTCGGGGCAGTTTGTCCGTACCAGCTGCTCCATCGTTTGGTTTGTCCTTTCTGTTTGACCGTCCGTTTGGGGAAGATAAGGGGATGAGAATTGCAGGCGCGTGCCGTACCAAGCCCACGTGTCTTGCCAAAATTTCAACGTGAACCTCGGGTCTCGATCGCTAATGATTCCTGCTGGTATCCCGTGTATGCGAACAACGGTCGAGATGAACAGTCACGCGGTTTCTTCGGCTGTGATGGTTGTATGACATGGTGCGAAATGCGCCATTTTCGTCAATCGGTCGATGACAACCAATACTGCGTCGTTTCCGCTGGTCTATGGATCCATCGTCACGTGTTGCCATGGGCGTTGAGGTGGCTCGAGGGGCTGCAGCACACCTGTCGGTCGCTGATGTGATGATTTCATTCGCTGGCAGATCGGACATGCGGCCACGTAACGCTGCACGTCCGTCACCATATCTGACCAGTAATAAAACTGCTGCAATGCTTTCTTGAATTATCAACCCCGAAATGTCCCGATAAATTCGAATCGTAGACTTCTTGAATTAGTAATTCGCGAAGTAGACGATAACTTGGGACCCAAATTCGATCCGTCCCGCTTTGTAAGTAATAGACGCCTTTCCGTGTAGTAATTTTAAGATGGCCGTCATTTACGAATAAGGGGTCGGTCGAATACCCGTAGGTAAATAGTCCACTCGGTAGCGGGTTGCTCTGGGCGACTAGTACTGCTGCGAGTTGGGCAGACGGTCTGGATAGGGCGTGAGCAATATTGTTGGCGCCCTTTTTGTACGTGATCTTATACGTGAAGTTGGACTCCAGGTAGTCCAGTCAGCGTATCTGCCGCGGGTTGAGATTCGGCTGCGCTCTCAGGTACTGTAGGGATTTATGATCGGTTTGCACCGTCACGTCTGCTCCAGTTAGGTAGCCCCTCCAGATTTTGAACGTGTGGACAATCGCCAGCATCTCCTTGTCGTGTACCGGGTAGTTGCGCTCAGCAGATTGCATTTTCCGAGACTCATACACGATTGGTTGAAGACCATTGCCGAAATCTTGCATGAGCACGGCTCCGATGGCGATGTCACTTGCGTCGGTGATGACTTCGAAGGGCCGTTCCGGGTCAACGATGCGAAGTACTGGTGGCGACAGTAAAAGTTTTTTTAATACTTCGAACGCAGCTTGCTGCTTCTCCCCACACTCGTAAAAAATCCCCTTCTACAATAGGTCGGTTAGAGGTCTAGTTAACCCCGCCATGTTGGGTATAAACCATCGCACGTAATTCACCAAATCCAGAAAGGATTGCATCTGCTGCACATTTGTTGGCGGTTTCCACTCCTGAATAGCCCTGAGTTTTTTCGAGTCTATTTGAATCCCCTCTGTGGAGATCACGTGCCCCAAGAACTCCAGTTCTTATTTTAAAAACTTGCACTTGGAGCCATTGGTGATGAGACGATGCTGCTATTGCTGTTGAAAAAACGCTTCCAAGTTCTTGAACTGTAATTTTGTCATTTCGAACCTCGATATTCACTTCCGCGCTAGTCTATGTGTTATAAATGAATAAGCAGAGTAGCGCGGAAATGAATAACGAAGTGTTCAATCACTGAATGAGGATACAAGGAATGGCAAGCCAAGATATAGGAACACCAGAGCTGGTCTAACCATGAGATGGGAAGGTTCGAGAAAGGGATCGAAGGGTTTCGAAGTGACGAAGCGAGGCCCGGAGAACTCCCGAAGGTCGAACCAGAAGGTCTGGAGAAGCCAAGGCGGTTCTTTCAGAAAGGTCCGGAACCGTCCCGAGGCTTCGGGTCTGTTCGAGCGTACGCGATAGTAGTTCCGCCCGGTAAGGAATAGAAAACTCCTCATACATGGTTTCCACCCGTAACATTCAGGATTGGACGTTTTATTGGTTGGTTACTCTCTAAACCGGGTGCAGTATAGAGAGCGGTGTTACGAGCAACGAGTGTACTGAATATTCTGACCTTCCACAAGTACTGCGTGACACGTTGTCAAAGGATTCCTCCTCCGGTAGTTTGCTGATGTGGTAGCCGCTACTCTAGCCCCCCAACGTTTGCGGCGCGCTCTGGTCTTGCTTCTCAGGAACCATTTGGCAAGCCTACAAAGGATTTTACAATGGGGCTTTGTGTCGTTTCAAAGGATGTTGGACTACTTGCGATTCATAGCTTTCACGAGTACTTCGTAGTGCGTAAAATCGCGACTGCGAGTTTAGTTGAGAACCCGATTCAGGGAGCGCGGCCTTGAGGAATACACTTCACCTCATGGCTCCGTTCCCAGCCCCACTCAGCACGTCTACGTAACCCCACATTGCTCCCCCTCACATTTCTGCTGAGAATTTCTGATTTCCCCTTCACCAGTATCTCAGATCCAATCCTTCGGCAAGGTACGCCCAGCAAGTCGTGATGAGTCGCCCTGGTTCGATGTCCCATTCTAAGTGCTCCTAACCCTTCAACTCTGTGGTCTTGACATTTTCGTTTCCTGCTGTCGATTCGCTAATTCGCAGGTCACACTCGGTCGCCATGCCTAACCCCAAGGTCTTCTTCGATATCACCATTGGGGGAGCTCCCGCTGGCAGGATCATCATGGAGGTTCGTGATTTCTTGGACGCCGACCGAGTTTCCTGAGGCTAGGCGACTTACTCATGCTGTCCCGATTTCCCGTTGAATGCAGCTGTACGCGGATACCACCCCCAGGACAGCTGAGAACTTCCGCGCCCTGTGCACTGGTGAGTGCGATAGTGAACGGAGAAATGTTGAAGGTTCGGTATTCTAGGAAGTTTCTTATTCTGGTTTTTATTCGTTACGCAGGCGAGAAGGGGGTTGGTCGCTCTGGAAAGCAGCTTCACTTCAAGGGCTCTACCTTTCATCGCGTCATTCCGGACTTCATGTGCCAGGTACTATCGGTTCTACGGTCGATATTTTTTTTTTATTGTTGTTATTTAAAAAGTGTATCAGTCGGACATGGCGCGAACAATTTGGGCATTCCTCAACCGCACGATTCACTGTCGTGATGCGTGAACAGGGAGGTGACTTTACACGGGGAAACGGAACCGGCGGAGAGAGTATCTACGGCGAGAAGTTTGCCGATGAGAACTTCATCAAGAAGCACTCCGGGCCTGGTGTCCTCTCCATGGCTAACGCTGGCCCAAACACCAACGGCTCCCAGGTTCGTTCAAGCTACCTCAATCCCTCGCACCCCGTCACTCTCAACGTCGTTAGCCCCCCAGCGCATCTCGTAGAGACATTCATCAGCCGTCCTGCTGTTGGAGCATGGACCGCGTGTGTCTAAAGCTTCGCCCTGGAATTTCTCCTACACTTGCAGTTCTTCCTGTGCACGGTGAAGACTCCCTGGCTCGATGGGAAGCACGTGGTCTTCGGCCAGGTTGTGGACGGAATGAACGTCGTCAAGGCAGTCGAGACTGTTGGCACCACCTCGGTATGTCTGTTCCATTCGCTCATGCTTCACGCCTGCTTCAGTACCTCAGTTGTGCGATTCACGTTGTGTACAGCAACGAGAACCACAAGTGCCACGATTAACGTGTCTCTGGACGTTTCTTGTGCGCTACTGGCAGGGTGCTACGAGGAAACCTGTGGTCATTGCTGACTGCGGACAGCTCAGCTGAACTTGAATTTTAAGCCCTTAGTCTTCGGATCTTGACAACAGAGTTCTGCATACTGCCTGACCTTGGGATTTTTGTCAATGTGTTGAGCGGTTGCACACCTTAGTGCTGAGTGCACTTCCATACATCAATTCCCACTGGTATGCGGAGGCCTTTTGCCTTCCATTTTGAAATTCCCATTTGATTTGCAAGCAACGTGGCTGGATTGGTGCAAGCTGTGAGGAATCGAAGGTTGATGCCACAGGCGCATGTTGTCTGGGGGCAAAGTATTGAAGTGAAAGAATGACTAGAACAGTGAGATACAAGGGAATATAACCTAACGAGTTGTACTCCTGAAGGCACAACCCTGTAAAGTTTATAATGACATATAAAGATATGTATGACACACCACTTAGTCTGGATAGGGGTAGTGCCTGGTGAGAGAAGCAGCTCATGGTGGCACTACTAGTCCAACCTCTGAGACAGGGGTCTAAAGACCAGTCAAACGAGTATAGAGAAGGCAAGAGCAAGACCAGGGCAGCACTATTAGGAAGAGGGCACAAGGCCAGTCAGGGTAATATGTCAATATTATATAAGTTATATATAATTGATAGGCTTAAAACCACAGGCTAAAAAAGCACACCTTGGGCGCTCTTGAAAACTGTGTTTTTTGGTGGTCAGAATAAAAGACCCAGACTGGAGCACTCCACATGAAAAGTAACGAAAAAACATATCTTGCGACATTTTGAAACGTAGCGAGAGGGCCACGACGCACCAAGCACCCCCACGACTTCGGTGGAATATGGTGCGACAAGAACTACGGTCGCAAAATTGTTTCTGTGCGACCACAATCTCGAACCCATCGTTCAAGAGCTCCACGGGTGTGCTTCACGTTTCTAAGGAGGAGATAATCTCGTAGTCACACAAGCTTAGGAACCCATTGTCAACTTATACATATTATCTATGTAGAAGTTATAGGCTAGACTGAGGTATGCTTCTAACGAGTACAACCAACTAGTATTTGTTCTAGGTTTCCACCTCTAGTCATTATTCGTTCTCACTTTGACATGGTATCACGCGTAGGTTAGCATCCCCCACCTACCGCTTCCGCCCATACCCTAGCTAGGCCACGTCGCGCCTCCTAGCCCCGTCGCGCCTCCTAGCCACGTCGCCCCCCCCCCCCCCTCCTGGGCCACGTCGCGCCACCCTAGCCCCGTCGCGCCACCCTAGCCCCGTCGCGCCCCTCCTGGGCCCCGTCGCGCCTCCTAGCCCCGTCGCGCCCCTCCTAGGCCCCGTCGCGCCACCCTAGCCCCGTCGGCCACCCTAGCCCCGTCGCGCCCTGCCTGGCCCCGTCGCGCCCTGCCTGACCCCGTCGCGCCCGCTCGGCCCCGTCGCGCCCTGCCTGGCTCCGTCGCGCCCGCCTGGCCCCGTCGCGCCCTGCCTAGCCCCGTCGCGCCCTGCCTGGCCCCGTCACACCTGCCTGGCCCCGCCGCGCCTCCCTGGCCCTGCCGCGCCTGCCTGGCCCCGCCGCGCCTGCCTGGCCCCGTCGCGCCCTGCCTGGCCCCGTCGCGCCTGCCTGGCCCCGTCGCGCCTGCCTGGCCCCGCCGCACCTGCCTGGCCCTGCCGCGCCTTCCTGGCCCCCGCCGCGCCTCCCTGGCCCCGCCGCGCCTGCCTGGCCCCGCCGCGCCTCCCTGGCCCCGCCGCGCCTGCCTGGCCCCGCCGCGCCTGCCTGGCCCTGCCGCGCCTGCCTGGCCCCGCCGCGCCTGCCTGGCCCCGCCGTGCCTTCCTGGCCTCGCCAGCACCTGCCTGGCCCCACCACACCTGCCTGACCCCTTCGCCCCGGCTCGTCCTGCCGTGCCGCCTCGGGCTCCGTCTCCTCTGCTCGCCCGTGCTGAGGCGCTTCGCGGCCGCCGTGCTGGAGGGGGCTGTCGCTGTGTTCCTGTGGAGCTGTGCCGCTGACCCTGCACGATGGCGGACTTCGTGCTCCGACTGGACGCCGAGGGCCATGCGGTTGACTTCGCCGCCTGGCTCTCCGATCTCCGCCGCCACCTTACAGGTCAGCGCCAGGATGGCCACTCTTTGGTTGTCCATGTCGACGGCTTGCTCCCCCGTCCCCCCGCACCTGCTCCCCTCCCTGCTGATCCCTCCTCTGATGACCGTGAGACCTTCTCTACTGCTGCGCTTGCCCGTGCGGTCTGGGACTCCCGCGATGCAGTCGCTCAGGTTGCCATTAGCCACGCCCTCCCTGTCTCTGAGCGCTCGCGTTTTGCTACTATTGAGACGGCCAAAGCTTACTTAGACGCTGTTATTGCCCGCTATTCCACACCCGCGTCTGCTTCAGCTGGTCGCCTGCTCTTCCCTATGCTTTTCCCAGACCTTGCAGCTTTCCCTACCGTCGCAGACTTTGCCACTCACCTGCGTGCCCTAGAGACCCGCTATCGCACTGCCAGCACTGCTGCCCAGCTCACTGCGCTCCCCCCCCCTTTCTGCATGACGCTCTATTTTATCGCCATGCGCCTGCCAGACCGCCTCGCTAGTGCTCGCGATCACTTTCTTAGCCAGCACCCGGGTGACCTCACTCTCACTGCCTTTGTCGATACCCTCACCGAGATCGAGACTCGCCAGCGCACTATCGCTCAGTCGAGCGGTGCGCCGGCAGTTTCTATCTTTCACGGTTGTGCCCCCTCCCAGTGTGCGTTCACTGACGTTTCGGCTGCGGTCGCCTCGGCGGCCCCTCTCACCGAGTCGGCTGGTGCGGTCCACCCGCAGCAGCGCTCGCGCCGGGGTGGCCGTGGTCGCCAGGGGGGTAGGGGTGGTGGTTGCAGTAGTGGTGGTGACGGTAATCCGCCTGCGGGGACTACCACTGGTGGGCAGGAGCAGCAGCCCCAGCCGCAGCCGCCGCCCCAGCAGCAGTTACCGTCCCAGCAGCAGTCGCCGCAGCAGTGGGCCCGTCTCCCGCCTGGTTGGCCCGGCACCTCTGGAGGTAGTGGCCGTGGTGGCGGTCCGCGCAGCTTGGCGTCTACCGGCGGCTCCGGTGCTGTCACCTGCCAGTACCAGCTTCAGACCGGGCCTCTTCGCGGCACTCTGTGCCGCCGCCCGCACCCGACCGCCCGCTGTTTCCGCCGCCTCGACGATCTCTTTCGTCGTCGCTTTGGCCCGGCCCCGGACCTCCCCGACTGGCACAGCCTGCTCCGCCAGGGCGTGCCGATCTTTGAGTTAGACATGGATCAGCTAGGTACTGCTTTGCATGCTTTGTATTCTGACACTTCTAGTTTTGCTGGATCTTATTACCCTGTGTACTCTAGTTTAGGTGTTGCACCACTGTGTAGCTTAGCCTCCCCTGCTGCGTCAGGCGTAGAACTGCCTAGGTTGCCTAGTCTAGTCGCTGCACCGGCTCCGTCCCCGGCCTCCGCCACTGCGTCGCTGTCCTTCACTCTCGACTCCGGTGCTTCTGCCTGCTTCTTCCGCGACCGTTCCACGCTCACGCCGCTTGCTGCACCTGCTGTTGTCTCTCTCGTTGACCCCTCTGCGGGTCCGGTCGTCGCGCGCAGTTCTACGTCCCTTCCCTGTCCGGCAGTTCCCTCAGGCTCCCTTACTGGCCTCCACGTTCCCTCGTTCTCCAGGAACCTGGTTGGTGTCGGCTGTCTCCAGGACCTCGGCGTCACCACCACGTTCCCCGGGCACGAGCGGTTCGCTGTCTGTTCTGAGGCTGTCTCAGGTTCCCCCCTTGCGACGTTCCCCCGGGACCCGGTGTCCGGTCTGTTTACCCTAGACACCGCTTCCCCCCCGGTTGGTGCGTCCTCCCAGGTCGCTGCAGCTTGCTCGTGTCGGTCCCTCGCTCACCCCTCCCTTCTCTGGCACCACCGCTTAGGTCACCCTGCTCTCCCGCGTCTGCGTCACATGTCCCAGCACGGTCTTGTCTTAGGTCTCCCTGCGTCGCTCCCTGCCCTTCCTCCCTCGACTGCGCCACCGTGCACGCCTTGCGTCGAGGGTCGGCTTCGCCGTTCTCCTCACTCCTCCTCGCTGCGTCCTGCTACTGCCCCCCTTCAGACCCTGCACTTGGACGTTTGGGGCCCTGCCCCGTCCCCGGACCGCGCGGTGAGCGCTACTTCCTTGTGCTCGTCGACGACTACACGCGCTACACCACGGTGTTTCCCCTGGAGCGGAAGGCCGACGTGCCCGACGTTCTCCTCCCGTGGGTTGTGGCTGCGCGTCTCCACCGCGGTCTCCCCGTGTTGTGTCTCCACTCCGACCGTGGCGGCGAGTTCGCCTCTGGTCGGCTTGGACAGTTCTGTCGTGCGGAGGGCATCACCCAGTCGTACACCTTGCCGGACTCGCCACAGCAGAATGGGGTTGCTGAGCGCCGCATCGGCTTGGTCATGGAGGTCGCCCGTACCTCCATGATCCATGCCGATGCCCCCCATTTTTTGTGGCCGTTCGCTGTTCGCTACGCTGCTCACCAGCTTAACCTGTGGCCACGCTCCCAGCGGCCGCAGGTTTCGCCGACCCTCCTTTGGACCGGGTCCCCCGGTGACGCGTCTGCGTTCCACGTCTGGGGCTGCCTTGCTCACGTTCGTGCCTCTGGCACGGACAAGCTCACTGCCCGCACTGTCCCCTGTGTCTTCCTCGGTTTCCCCCTGGACTCGTCTGACTGGCTTTTCTACCACCCGCCGTCTCACCGCTTCCTCCACTCTCGTGACGTCACCTTTGACGAGTCCGTCTCCTTCTACCGCCGCTTCCCTCACCGAGGTCTCCCAGTTGCCCCCCCCCTGTTCCTTGCTCCCTCTCCCCCGGTAGCCCCTGCCCCTCTCCCGCCTCGTCCTGCCCCGTCTGGTGTCTCCCACGTCACTCCCCTCCCGTCGATTGTCCCCGTTGAGGAGTCTGCTGACTCTGGTGGTACCCCCGGTCCGTCCTTGCCGCGTCCCCCTTCCCCGGTGCCTCCGCCCCCACTGTCGCAGTCGCCGACCCCGCTGCCGCCGCCGTCGCCGTCGCTGCCGCAGCCGTCGCCGCTGTCGTCACCGCCGCAGCCGTCGCCGCCGCCGCCGCTGTCGCTGCCGCAGCCGTCGCCGCTGTCGCCGCCGCCGCAGCCGTTGCCGCCACTGCCGCCGCCGCTCTTGGCCCCTGGGGGTGCTGGTGTGGAGGAGGGTGTTCGTCCTGCGGCTTCTGGGGGTGCCGCTGGTGTTGGAGGGGGTTCTCGCTCTGGGGGTGTTGGTTCTGGGGGTGCTGCTGTTGAGTGTTCTGCCGACGGTCGTTCTGCCTCTGCTGGTCCGAGAGTTCCGGCCCAGCCGTCGTCGCCGCCGCAGCAGCCGTCGCCGCCGGTTTCTGCTCTCCGCCTGCTCGGCCTTCCCTCACCGGACCGCGCGCCGGTGTCTCCCCCACCGCCTGCTGACCTCCCTGTCTACGGTCCTGTGTTCCCGCCGCCGGACTCGTCTCCGGCCCGTCTTCCTCCTCGTTCCCCTCCTGTGTCTCCTCCGCTGTCCCCTAACCCTACCCCTCCGTCTCACGTTTGGGCTCGCCGTCCCCCCGTGCTCGTCCCGTCTCTCCTGTCCTGCCCACCCACCCTATGTTGCTCCGTTCCCGCTCGTCTCGTCCTCCCCTCCTCCCGTCCCCTCCTCCCTCGTCCCTTGTTGTAGCACCTCCTCCGTTCTCTGACTACCTCCGTGCTTCTCGTCCCCTTGTCCCTCGGGTCCTTGCCTCTCTTGTTACCGACCTTGCTGTTCCTGTCTCGCGCCTTGACGCGCTTGTCGCCGCTGTCGCTGACTTCGCTTCTACCCGCCGCCTTGACTACGCTACCGCTCTGGTCTCTGACCCTGTCCGTCGGGGGTGCTCCTGCCCTTGGCAGTGACGTCCTAGAGGACAGGCAGTACGAGCTGGCTTTCCTTTCCGAGGCTGCTCCCCATCTCTGCTCCATGCTCCTAGTCCCTGAGGGTGACCCAGACGCCTTCGACATCCCGACCCCTCGCACCTACGCAGAGGCCACCTCGGGACCTTGGGCCTCTCAGTGGATAGCTGCCATGGAGCAGGAGATGGCATCTTGGAGGTCCACCGGCACTTACGTCGACGCAGTTCCCCCGCCTGGGGTGAACGTAGTCGAGGTCGGTGGCTCTTCAAGGTGAAGCGCCCCCCTGGAGAGCCGCCTGTCTTCAAGGCGCGCTACGTGGCCAGAGGTTTCAGTCAGCGCGAGGGGGTTGACTTCTTCCAGACCTTCGCCCCGACCCCGAAGATGACCACTCTTCGGGCGCTGCTACACGTAGCAGCACAGCGTGACTACGAGCTTCACTCCCTCGACTTCTCTACTGCCTTTCTTCAGGGCAGCCTACACGAGCAGGTCTACCTGCGCCGACCACAGGGCTTCACTTGTACCTTCCCTCCTGGGACCCAGTGGCTTCTCAGGCGCCCGGTCTACGGCCTGCGTCAGGCTCCCCGCGAGTGGCACGACACGCTACATGCCACGTTAGCAGACCTGCAGTTCTTTCCGTCCTCTGCTGACCCTTCACTGTTTGTGCGTTCCGGCCTGACTCCGTTCTACATCCTTGTCTACGTAGACGACCTGGTCTTCGCTACCCCTGACAGGGACGCACTGGCCTCTGTGAAGGCTGAGCTGCTGAAGAGACACACCTGCACTGACCTTGGAGAGCTGCGTCGCTATCTTGGCCTGCAGATCTCCAGGGACAGAGCAGCACGCACCATCACTCTGACCCAGTCACACTTGGTGCGTCAGGTCCTTCAGAGGTTCGGTCTTCAGTTCTCCTCCGCACAGCCCACACCTCTACCCGTAGACCATGGGCTCTCTGCTCCCGTTCCTGAGGAGCCAGTAGAGCCCAGTGGCCCCTACGCAGAGCTGGTGGGTTGCCTCATGTACCTGATGACTTGCACGCGCCCAGATCTCGCATACCCTCTCAGCATCCTGGCTCGCTTTGTGGCTACAGGCAGACACCGACCTCAGCACTGGTCTGCCGCTAAGAGGGTTTTGCGTTATCTTGCTAGTACATCAGGCATGGGGTTAGTGCTAGGAGGACGCAGGCCAGTGGTCCTTACTGGGCACACAGACGCTTCTTGGGCAGACGACGCTGAGACGCTCAGGTCGTCACAGGGCTACTGTTTCAGCCTTGGTTCGGGTGCTATCTCTTGGAGATCCACTCGCTCGTCGTCTGTGGCTCAGTCTAGCTGTGAGGCTGAGATCTACGCTGGTGCCATGGCGGCACAGGAGCTCCGCTGGCTGACCTTCTTGCTCACAGACTTAGGTGAGCGGCCTAGCTCTGCCCCGGTCCTGTACGCTGACAACAGGGCCATGATACTCCTGTGTCAGGAGCCTCGGCTTGAGGGCAGAGCGAAGCATATCCAGCTGCGGTACTTTCTCCTGCGTGAGCTACAGCAGCGCCGCCAGGCCCGCGTAGTTCACTTGGCCTCAGGTGCCAACACAGCTGATATCTTTACTAAGGCGCTTGCGCCTAAAGATCATCAGCGGCACTGTGTACAGCTTGGTCTTGTTCCTGTAGCTGCTCCCCTGTTAGGATCCTGATTGTGTACTCTCTATTATATATGCTTGTCAGACTGGCCTTGTGGCCTTTCCTCCAGTGGCTGGACTAGTAGTGCCACCCTGGCTTGCTTCAGTTTTGGTTGTATTCTTGCTGACTGGTCTCTAGACCCCTGCCTCAGTGGTTGGACTAGTAGTGCCGCCCTGAGCTGTTTGTTTCTTGTTTAGTTTCACCCCTTGTCTAGCCTAGGGGGTGTGTCAACTTATACATATTATCTATGTAGAAGTTATAGGCTAGACTGAGGTATGCTTCTAGTGAGTACAACCAACTAGTATTTGTTCTAGGTTTCCACCTCTAGTCATTATTCGTTCTCACTTTGACACCCATAGCTGCCACCAGGCCCCCAAATTGCAGACTTTTTACTCTGATTCAGACTTTTTTCAGAGTTTTTTTGGGGGTGTACTCTGATTGGGAAGACTTTTTTTTGTACCTTACTTTGATTTTTCAGAGAAGATTTATGTACCTACGCTGATTTTTCAGACTTTTTTTACTAGTGTACTCTGATGCCTCAACTCTGTATGGGGGGTCGACTCTGATTTGTGTAATGCCAGGTTTAGAGGGGGGGAGCGTGATTTACCTGTGGGGGGGTGCTGATTGGCCCTTAGCCAAAATCAGGGCGAGATGCTTGTGGGGGGCTTTGTGAGGGCAGTTATTGGCCCTTCACCCAAATCAACGGCCAATGCGTATTGGGGGCTGTGTGAGGGACAGGCCCCCAGAAGTCAGGAAATTTTTCCTGATTCAGGAAAAAAACAGGGAGTTTCTTGGTACTTACCCTGATTGTGCAGGGTTTTGTAAATGACAAACCCTGTTTTTTCAGGCTTTTTCTAAGGGTAAACTCTGATCGCTCAGCAAGGTTTTTTAGCGAACGCTGAATTTCTCAGCATTGTAGCGGGTCTTAGCCCTTTCCAAAAGCGTGTCTAGGGGGGGCAGTCAAGAATTTCGAGGTTCTCCCCCCCACTTTCCCCCACCCCCCGAGGCTGTGTGAGGGCGCTCATTGGTCCTTGGTCAAAAAAATCTCCGCGTTGTATGTTGGAGGTCATGTGAGGGAGGTGTGCTGAGGACCGTGTGAGGGCAATTGCTAGCCCTTGGCCGAATTTGCTTGATGTGCGCCTGCCCTAGGGCTCTGCGAGGGAAGAGATTCCCTCCGCCCCTGCAATCTGGTCGCCTCCCCCCTGCAATCTGGTCGCCTCCCCCCCTATTCAGCCCTTCCCCCCTCTCCCCCCACCAATTGTCGTTTCCTGCCCATCCCCCAATCTCGCCACACGCGCGAATTCGCTACGAATTCCCAGCACCCCCAAAAACCAAGACTTGAACACACAAAATTCATGAACTATAACATGTATAGAAAGATTGAAAAATCAGTATTTTTTTTTTAAGTAATTCTGATGGCTCAGGATTTTTTTTTAGGGGACCCTGAAAATTCAGACTTTTCTGCAGGGAGAATCCTGATGGATCAGGAAGCCTCAAAACCAATCTAGGGCCCTGGTGAGGGAGTTGACTGGCCCTTCACCAAAATCGCTGGCCGATGTGTACTGGGGGCTGTGTGAGGGAGCTGACTGGCCCTTCACCAAAATCACCTCCCAGTTTGTGATGCGTGCGGTGTGAGGGGCCGATTGGCCCTTGGAAAATTTTGCTGAGGTGTGCTTGCCAGTGCAGCGGGCTGTGTGTGCGAGGGCACCCATTGGCCCTTCACGAAATAGCCACCTGGATGGCCCCGATTTCCCTACCTCCCCTGCAATTTTGATTTGCCCGCCCCCCAATTCTTTTCCGCCCCCATCCCTCGATTTCGTCCCCCATTCGCAATTCGCCACGATCCCGTTTCTCCACCAACCGATATCGTCGCCGTACCTCAGGCACGCGAAATTACTAGACACGGAACGGGGAGGGGGGGGGATAGAAACCCGTGAAAGACTCACCTAAATTTTTTAAAATCGTATGTCAGTCTGTCTGGGAGATTATCAAAGTAAAAAAATCTTAAGTCAGGCCTGGCAAGAGCGCTGTACAATACAGCACAGCCTTGCCATGAGCCTCGCTGATCAACCAAACCCGCACCAGCGCGGGGCCGGGCCTAGGGCGCCACGAAATTCCGCGCCGCCGCCAGAACACGGATACGGTAGGGAGCGCACGCGAGAGAAAGCCCCTCAAGCAAGAAGTATGAGGGCAGCGGTTGGGAAGGGAATGGAAAAGTAACGTGCAAAACACTCACTTTGAAATCAGAGTTAAAAACAATGGTAACTCTGATTAATCAGACAAATAAATTATTGTTACTCTGATTTTTCAGACTTTTTTTAGGGGGCGACTCTGAAGGCCATACCAAGAGATGGCAGGCAAGTCTGATGAATCAGACAAGCCCAAAACCAATTTGGGGGCCTGGCTGCCACAGCACAGGTCAGATAAAAAAAACCGCCCCGCGCATCGACGACCAACTCATACCACTACGGGAAGACGGATTTATTCTCCGAGTAGGCGACCTCCATATGTGTCATACCGCAACACACAGAGGGACAAGCTAAAAGCAGCGTAAACGAGCCAAGGAAGCCGTAGTTTGCGACGCGAATCTAGGGTAAGACCTGCCATTAGGCCCCGTGACGAAACGCATGTATATAGCCGGCGTTAAAGCGGCACGGGGGGCCGCGGATAGCGACGAGATCGGGGGACGCATAGGAAGGAGAGGGGGAAACGGATGGCGAAATGAGGGAGGCCGGATGGCGAGGAGTGGGGGAACGGACGGCGATGATAGGGAGAACGGACGGTGAGGATGGGGGGAAAGGACAGGGGTGAGGGGTAGCAGATGGCGTGGAGAGGGGAAACGGACGGCGAGGCTAAGGGGAACAGACAGGGGTGAGGGGGAGGCGACGCGAGGGGGAACGGATGACGAGGTGAGGGAGAAGGGATGGCGAGGATAGGGGGAACGGATGGCGCGAAGAGGGAGAAAGGGCGGCGAGGATAGAGGGAACTGCCAGGGGTGAGGGGGAGCGGATGGTGCGAAGAGGGGGGACGGATGGCGAGGGGAGGGGGAAAGGATGGCGAGTTGAGGGGGAACGGATTGCGACGTGAGAGGGAACGGAGGGTGAGGCTAGGGGGAATGGAGGGCGAGGCTAGGGGGAACGGGGACGAGCAGAGAATGAACTGATGGCAAGGTGAGGGAGGGACGGAGCCGCGTGAGGATGGGGGTGTGGAGAGGGTGAACGGTGTGGGAGAGGGTGAACGGTGTGGGCGAGGGCGAGGAGAGCGGGAGGACTGTGCATAGAGAGAGGGGGAGAGAGGAAGAAATGAGGGGTAACCGAGGGTGCGGAGAGAGGGAGGAGAATGCATAGAGAGAGGGGGAGAGAGGACGAGAAGTGGGGTAGCAGAGGGCGGGGAGAGATGGGGGAGAGGGTGAGCGAGGGCTGATGAGAGGGCGGGCAGATTCCTGAATCTGCTTCCCAAGTCAGATTCCTAACTCTTATTCTCAAGTCAGATTCCCATGTCAGAGTCCTATGTCAAATTCCCGAGTCTCATTCCCGAGTCAGATTCCCATGTCTGCCGCCCGTCCCTCCCCTCTCGCCCATCCTCCCCTGCCGCCCGTCCCTCCCCTCTCGCGTGTCCCTCCCCACTCGCCCGTCCCTCCCCTGCCGCCCATCCTTCCCCTCTCACCCGTCCCTGTGCGTGCGCCCATCCCTCCCTTCTATCTATCCCCTCCTGACAGCATGTCTCTGGATTCCGTCCCCGTCTCCCTTCCCCTCTAGCTCCCACCATCCCCTCAGCTCCCACCATCCCCTCAGCTCCCACCATCCCCCTCAGCTCCCACCATCCCTCAGCTCCCACCATCCCCTCAGCTCCCACCATCCCCTCAGCTCCCATCATCCCTCAGCTCCCCTCAGCTCCCACCATCCCCTCAGCTCCCACCCATCCCCTCAGCTCCCACTCCCTCAGCTCCCCCATCCCTCAGCTCCACCATCCCCTCAGCTCCCACCATCCCTCAGCTCCCCATCCTCATCCCCCCTCAGCTCCCACCATCCCCTCAGCTCCCACCATCCCCTCAGCCCCACCATCCCCTCAGCTCCCACCATCCCCTCAGCTCCCACCATCCCCCTTCAGCTCCCCATCATCCCCTCAGCTCCCACCATCCCCTCAGCTCCCATCATCCCCTCAGCTCCCACCATCCCCTCAGCTCCCACCATCCCCTCAGCTCCCACCTCCCCCTCAGCCCCACCATCCCCTCAGCCCCCATCCCCTCAGCTCCCACCATCCCTCAGCTCCCCCTCCCCCCACTCCCACCATCCCCTCAGCTCCCACCATCCCCTCAGCTCCCACCATCCCCCAGCTCCCCCATCCCCCACCCCTCCCCACTCCCCCCCTCAGCCCCACCATCCCCTCAGCTCCCACCATCCCCTCAGCTCCCACCATCCCCTCAGCTCCCACTCATCCCCTCAGCTCATCCCCTCAGCTCCCACCATCCCCTCAGCTCCCACCATCCCCTCAGCTCCCACCATCCTCCTCTCAGCTCCCACCATCCCCTCAGCTCCCACTCATTCCCCTCAGCTCCCACCATCCCCTCAGCTCCCACCATCCCCTCAGCTCCCACCATCCCCTCAGCTCCCACCATCCCCTCAGCTCCCACCATCCCCTCAGCTCCCACCCCATTCCCCTCAGCTCCCACCATCCCCTCAGCTCCCACCATCCCCTCAGCTACATCCCCAGCCCCCATCCCCTCAGCTCCACCATCCCCTCAGCTCCCACCATCCCCTCAGCTCCCACCATCCCCTCAGCTCCCACCATCCCTCAGCTCCCACCATCCCCTCAGCTCCCACATCCCCTCAGCTCCCACCATCCCCTCAGCTCCCACCATCCCCTCAGCTCCCACCATCCCCTCAGCTCCCACCATCCCCTCAGCTCCCCACCATCCCCCTCAGCTCCACCATCCCTCAGCTCCCACCATCCCCTCAGCTCCCACCATCCCCTCAGCTCCCACCATCCCCTCAGCTCCCACCATCCCCTCAGCTCCCACCATCCCCTCAGCTCCCACCATCCCCTCAGCTCCCACCATCCCCTCAGCTCCCACCATCCCCTCAGCTCCCACCATCCCCTCAGCTCCCACCATCCCCTCAGCTCCCACCATCCCCTCAGCTCCCACCATCCCCTCAGCTCCCACCATCCCCTCAGCTCCCATCATCCCCCAGCTCCCCCATCCCTCAGCTCCCATCATCCCCTCAGCTCCCACCATCCCCTCTAGCTCCCACATCCCCTCAGCTCCCCACCATCCCCTCAGCTCCCATCCATCCCCATCTAGCTCCCACCATCCCCTCAGCTCCCACCATCCCCTCAGCTCCCACCATCCCCTTCAGCTCCCACCATCCCCTCAGCTCCCATCATCCCCTCAGCTCCCATCTCCTCACCCTCCCCCACCATCCCCTCAGCTCCCACCATCCCCTCAGCTCCCACCATCCCCTCAGCTCCCACCAT